ACGATATGACCGATGCGCCAATTCAATTAATTAATTTTTAAGTAATCATCAGAATCTTAGCATAACCCATGGGGTAACATTTTTACTTAGAGATATTTGAATGTAAGGAGGTGGATTAAACACATTAAGCAAAAATTTGAAAACCCGGTGCCTCTGGATTTCAAAGAGTAAATGGCTCTTTGGAAGGCAAAGGCTTGTTTCTGACCTCCTACATCATCAATTAAAAAAAAGGTGCTTACCTCGTGGTTACTTTCCCATGATTATTTTGGCTATCTCCTTTATAATCCTAACTGTTTGGAGAATAAAGTGCATTAGATTTCTTATGCTTTTGTGTTGAATTTACATTGTGGAAGTTCAAAAGGATCGAAAAGGATAATCAAAGTTGCATAAAATTGTTGACAACGGCAGAATGTCTCACCTTGCTGACATTCTGAAGAAGAAGAAAAAGTGAATAGCGACTACTGTTTATATGTTAATGGTTGAAAATATCAAAAATTTTATTTTGAATCCACAAACTCCCAGTAAATCAAGAGAATGTCCACTTCATCTGGTAAAAAATCTTAAATATAACCCCATCTTCTCATTATGACTATTTAACTAACAAATCGATAGACAAGCCTTTGATATTATCTTCACTTAATCTCTTCAGATACAACCGCCAGCTTCTATCAATCAACTTGCACAACTAAGTCCTCCAGCCATCTTCCATCTATGGTACTCAAACTAATAAAGCAGCCACTGACGAAAACTACCACTAGCACTCATCTGTCTCGAGTATTTGTATTTATTTGTTCTTTCTCATAAGCCATCAATGCCTATGGACTCAAATTCTGTCCTACCACAATTCTCCACCCTCCAAATTTGGCACGCTGCTGCGGATATGCCAGCCTCCGAGAGAGTGGTAGATGGTGGCAGAAAGCGCTGACTGACTAATGCTACACATCCATTGTGTTTACTTTTTTGCCAAAATACCTTCATACTCAACTGTCCAGCATCTGAAACACACTCAACCGTACAATATGTTCCTCAGTTGTCAACAGCATCATCATCATAATCGTCATCACGGCATCTTTGGCTAGCACATCCTGATTTACTAATTACTTTCGTTATTTCTCCACAAATATAATTTATTAAAAGTTGAGATAAAAGATGTTTTTAACGGAGTTAATGAGAATATAGAATAGCTTATAATGATATGTTTTCAAGAAAAATATTGGCACAGAGAGTGATTATTTATGAGATTTAACTGCGATCACCGTAATTTAATTGTTGGAAATAAGTGAATATAAACTGAAAGTGACAAAGTCAAATTTAAATTTATGTCCATCATTAAAAAAATTCATATTCTTTAAAATTGACAATCAAATCTTGAAATGATCTTCTTACTTCTTTATTTTTTTCTCCTAAACATTGTAAATGTGTTACAACTTGTTATTATACCAATTTTTAATTGAGTAACAAAAGTGAATTCAAGTGTACTGACTTGGATAGGTGCCAATGAGTGCATGATTTATAACCGAGTGGAGTAAGAATATTGTCAAAACTTCATGTATGAGTACCTCTCAAATAGCCCCAATTCCTCACATAAAATATTAACAGGGGATTACGCAAAATTTCCCATTTTTTACAAGCCGCCTCTAACAGCGACCCACAATTTTTTGCATATTTTTACACTTGCGTATTAATGATAACATTAATAATAATGTACCATGGATAAAACAAATCATTTTAACCAACGTCACTTCGAGTAAGTTTAGCATCATTACTTTTGCATTTTGGATCGATCAGGAATCATATAGAAGAGTTTTCCTGAACATGCGAAAGGAGGGATTCCTGATGGAGATTCGAAGCAGTGAAGAGAGAGAGAGAGAGGGGGGGGGGGTAAGGATCAAAATCAATCAAGATGGTATTAAAAAGACAAATTTCTAGTTTCAATGATTGTGCGGAGGTGGAGGTGATTATGATAACTCGTCCAATTTTGAGCATCAACATCCAGTTTAATTATCACTCTCTCTCTCTCACTCTCTCGAAGAGCCTTGACGGTACTTTCTAGTCATGTGCCATTAGACTAATGATCCCGCACGTAAACTCTTAACGCATGAAGAATTTCGGCCAGACTGAGGTCAGTTAGTGCCTGATGCAGCACCTCGGGAGGGCAAGCTTTAGGGTTTTAATAAATGGCTCTGCTTGATTACCTGATTGAAAGTGATATTGCAGAGAGAAGATGTGAACGGTGTCAAGATTTTGAAAAAAATAGTCCCAAAGACAATCGGAGCTGTTATTGGTTATAATTAATACTTTACCATTGAAAACTCCTAGTAATGTTGTCGGTGGATAATTTAGGAGTACTTCGTGAGGTTTGTCTGGCAATCATTGTCATGTCAAATCTTTCGGTATAGCTTCTATCGATGCTATTCTGGAGGATATTATTGCAAGAAATTCCAAACTTGATAGCATAGACCATTTAACTGTGGTTTCTGGTCGAAAGAAGGATTCGGTTATGCCTCAAAGTAAGCAGATTGAGACAATTTTGTGCAGCAGACGAGCGAGAAAAACATGCGAATTAACGAAAACTTAGGCAAGCTCAAAATTCGCCAACGAAACTCCTTCTCTGGTCATTTTTTACAGCCTCGTGTTTGATTTTGTCTTCTATCATTCTAACAATCAGGTTCTTTGTAAAAGCGAAGACTCTCCTTGGTGTTCAAGGGTGAAATGAGACATTTGAGCTATTCTTCTTCCAGGAGAAGGAAGCTAACTTAATTGCAAAAAGGGAACTTCAGCAGATATAGAAAGTTTGATAGAATGTAATGAACGAACAGAGGACGATGGTGTAACAGAAGAACCTATTTATTTGCGCCCTTCAAATTCAGCGAAAACGCAAATAGTTCTGAAGATAAACTATTGAGAAACCCAAAAACTAAAAAAATCATTTAATTTTAAGGGACTTGGGAATATTTTGGTTCTGAAATTCTAGAGCATGTTAGAGGAAATAATTATGGCTCCTCATCTCCCGGAATGTCTCATTTCCCCGAATCGAATATCAAACAGGATGATAAGCAGCCTTTTCCATTTTTTAAATTATGTCCACCAACGACCCACAATTTTAGTAGATTTTAACAAGTATTTAAAGTAGGAAATAGTTAACATTAAACAAATAACTAAAACTGTTACTTTTATTCCTTTTCGGCCATGGTAATAACCTATTTGATGAAACAATAACATTTTTCATAAATTTTCACGGATTTTATTTGAGGGTTAGAGAATTAGCTGTCTTCAAATATAATATGCAAAAGGTGTTGCGTTGTACTGAGATGTTAAATGAGTGAAAAAGTAGTGAAATATGACTTTTTCCTTTTCTGAAAGTCGATGAATTTTGAAGTGAGTTTGAGTTACAAGTGACTTCCCTTTGTGCTACACATCTTCCTGCTAATTAAAAGGTTAGTTATGGTGGTGGATGGAGATCCACGCGCTTTCCCTTCTATTTTAATGTCTCAGGCCCGTTCTGAATCATTTAATAGAAGAGGAAAGTGCGTGTCTCAAATTTAAAAATTTATTTATATTTACATCAAATGGCAGGTGTTTTGATGCCTATCATTAGCCATTTAGTTGACTTCAGGCTTTACAAAGGGGAAGGAACATCAAAATGAAAAAACGTCGAGAGGGGGGGAGGAACAGAAGAGTTTCAAAGACGAAGTTAGAAAAGGTAGGAAAAAGGCTAGGTGAGTACTGTGAAAGATGTCTAATATGACTTACAATGGTGTAATGGTAGTTTGAAGTCAGAAGCCAGCTGCCGGTTTGATAGACTTTTTTGCCGTATGAGTATACGTTGCCCAGGGTGCACCACGTGGAGGTAAGTCTATCGCACACCCCCAAATTTAAAAATAATAATAATAATATTGGGTGGTGACACCACTCCCATCATTATGTTTTTTTTAAAAATTTGCGATTTATATACTAATCCAGTGCCTCTACTTTTTACTGCAGTGGGGCAAATCCAAGTATTTACACACCCTTTTCACTTAATTTTATTAATTTGCAAATGCAGTAATGATTAATTAGTTAAATAAGGGCGATGCGTTTTCATTAATGGGTTGAAGGAAGGTAGAAAGGAGAAAATGAAAAGGCTAGTCTGTAGGCTCCATGTAAAGATTAGCAATCGATTTTTGGAAATTGTTTTTTTACTCTACATCAATAATTTAATAAAATATTGAGTTTGCTGGAAATCTTTACTCATTGCATTGCTTCTCTATCTCTCTTATTTGTAAGCGAAATTTGCTCGTTGCTAAGGGCACTCACTTGCAAATTCAAAGAGATACAATTCCCAGTCGGGAAGATCGTTTCTTTGAAAATCACTCGAAATCAAGAGATTGAAACAATTTCACTGAATTCTTACTATCTCTACCTTAAAAATTTGATATTCAACAAATATCTAAGAATGCATATGTTTTACCTTAGATATCAGTGATCATTTCGATTAACTGAAATATTTAGTGCTTAGGAATCATAATGACCAATTATGTATTTCCCCATTACAGATGTTCCAGATTGGTATTATTTTACTGAATTAAATTTTAAATGATTGTTTTCTTTTTTTGTAGACAAATAAATTCAAGATTTGGTGGCTGCCAATATCGTGATTGAGAAATGCACCTTCATGAACATGGACGAAGATAAACCACTTTGCAAGCTTTAACACTCCCCCCCCTCTCCCACCTGTGGTCAATGGGTGATTAGAGAATGCTTACTCAATTCGGTCAAATCAAAGGTAACACATGACAAGTTAGAGGTCGTGAAATCGTAGGAGACAATTGCCATTGTAGTCTCAGAAAAATTGAAAAATGGATGTGAATGCTCCTGACCCTCCTCGTCCATCGTAGTAAATGTTAATGTTAATTTTAATCAACTTTCACCTCTCGTCTCTTGCTGCTGCTACTGCAACTGCACCGTACCCACGTGTGCGCATGGCATAGAGTAGCGCGATCGACGATTGGCAAATAGACATGGCCAATGAGGGCATAGTGTCTGACCTTGCATTTGCTGCTCTCCTGCCCACCCCCCTCCTCCCCGTATGGTGCGAACGTGCGCTTCTGCGTGCGTGCTCTTTTCGGGCGTAGGGTTTTTTTTAGCCCATACTGCGCACGAAGTCAGAAATCAACTGAATCATTTGCTTGTTGGACCAAATCGCACTGCAGCCCCCACCGTAATACGCTTCCTCTTTCTGCGTCTGACCTCTCTCTCTCTCTCTGTCCCTTAGACACCATAAATCATTCCGCATCATCTCCGTCTATCACTACTCAGTGGAATATTACAACGCATTCGCGGATGGTCTCAACTGGATTCAACTTCTCTCAGCATTCTCGTATTATCCACCTGGTGTAGGGCTTTCGTTTCTTTTGAGAGTAAGTTACATCTACAACAGAATGAACTTTCCTCCACCTTTGTTTTAATCGATAACCCGAGTTTAGTAATTATTTCCTGCTCCTTATCAGATGTATATTTTCTGAAAAGGAACGAAGAACGACTCCTTACTGTCGTAAATCAGTTTTCTGAGTAAGAAAGATAGGATTCACATATATGAAATTACGGGAGAACCCTTTTTCAGCATTGAGTAATTGAACTAATTTTGATATATTTAAAGGTTAAGTTTATCTTTCATTGGTGATTGCATCGGCGCCAGTGAATTAAACAATCATTTAGAATGTGGTGGCTACAGGCAGTCCATTTGAATGTAATTAATCAAGTATTTTTTTCTGGTTAATTAGAAATCCAAATTTTTATTTAAAATTGGATTTAGGAGTCTATAATGAATTCTAAGAACGTATCGGTAATTTTATTTTCATGTTTCGAAAAGGGTTTACTTAAATGTAATCCCATATGACAAATTTATTAGAAATATCAAACAATAATTTGTGGCTAAAGTTTAAAAATAAACGGTGTCTAATAAGCCCATTATTAACTAAATATAAGTAATGAATGCATTATCACAAAAATAATTTTATATGAATTTGATTCAGAAAATAAGACAGCCGAGGGGCTGTTTTCTCATATATTGCATTCGTTTTGCTTAAATAGCTAATGTTTTGAAAGTCTCCTTTTAAGATTGGAATAAATTCAAATGAGTCGTACTTTCGGCATACAGTTTGGACCAGTTCTGTGTGCTCACATTTACAGATTCACTTTCATTCTCGCTTCACAAACTGGAGTGGCCGTGTTTCGAAAACAGGCCACCCTGAGTGTAATACAACAGTACTTCCATCAAATCTCATTCAACCTAAAAGAGTGCCGTTAAACGTTCTCTGGATTAAAAATTAGTACTAACTAACTAACTTCGTTTTTTTTCTATTAAGCCAAACAGCTGGTAACTAAGCCGCCTTTGCTTCTGTACAAATACGTAGCTTGAGAGATGAAATAGGAAGGATAAAAAGGCAATGTATTGTGAATTTAGATCCAGTTAATTTCAAACAAGCCGTTAAATGTTCCTCCTTGCGAACTTTTTTACTTGATCTGGAATCTATGAGACCAATTAGCCTTCAATTTACCATATCTATTTATTAAAATTAACCAATAATGTTCCATGCTGAAATCTTTTCACAATTAACACAAGAGTTTCATCACGTAATCCTCTCAAATCTACATTAATTTACACCTCTTTTCAACTACATATTTTAGTATCTATTGAAGAGCAAACTTATTTCCACGTTTCCTCTTCCAGGCAAATTGGAATATCCATCGTGTTTTCTGAGCATAGGAAATGCGACTTTATGGTAAATCCTTCTGGCATTTTTCATCATCTCTTTGAAGTATTCTCACATTTCTTCGATACGGAGAGTAATGCCACAATAGGGTAGATATAGAATTATATATTAGCCAAATTGGCTTAGGATCTGTAACATGGTGAATCTGTACAGCCTCTTGCAATCTCGATTTACGGAAGCCCTATTTCTGGTATCTTTAACATCCGGAGAGGCAACACGGAAAATTACCATTTTGACATAAAAAAAACATGCTTTACGCTATCAGACGAAGAAAATACAGATTGTTAATTTAAAATTTGCCTAAATTGTGAAAATATGGACAAAAAATGACTATTGCGAAGGGAGACTGGAATGCAAACAGCATATGCGATTGAGCTTTTAGCTAAATTTTCAAGTCTCCTCCATATATTCACCAGTTAACATCTCACACTATTTCTAAACTTCCAATAGCTTTTTTTCCTCAACCATCACTAATCTTCACGTCTGCAATAGGCCAGTTGTTTTTTGTTTTAATCCACCCAACATAGGAAATTTCTAGCCTAGGCTCTTTATGCACTTGAGATTTAAATTTTAAGTGACCATAATGTCCATTTATAAAAGCACTCGTAGAGTTTTTTCCTGTGGAGGCATATAGTTTCCTTCACCTCGTCTAAACTTATTTAACCAGTACAGTTGACAATCTCTGGGTATACACCACTGGGTCCAAAATTTATAAATGTTGAATTTAACCACAATTTCAACACCGCTTACTTCGATGGGGTGGGTATATTGAGTCGGCTAACGTTTCCATTAATCATAACTACATATATTTACAAAATAACACCTATGACAAATAAATAATTTGAGAAATCGTATGTCCGGTGGAGATGAAAGCAGTTGCATTTCAGTTTAAGCTGAAATAATGTTTGCCACTGCCCCCAAGGTGGACTAGTGTGGTTGGGGTTAGCATAACTCATCTCCCTATGATAAGCAGTTGACAATCCTAATTAATGGTCGTTCATCCTCTCTCTCTCTCTCCCGTTCTGTGTTTCATGATAGTTTAGTGTCTTCTTGGCTAAATTTCGTGGGGAGGGGAAAGAAACACACACACATATGTCCTTCTAGATGGATAGTTTATCAGGGGAAGGGAATCTCTTGGGGATTTGGAGTTTAATTATCTGTTCCTATTTCGTTTCCAAGAATTAGATTCCTCAGCCATCTGCAATAAAGTGGGAAAAAATAATTTATCTTCCATGCATTATAGGTCGATTGCGATAACCTACTCACCAAAAAAGTTATTTAGGGTATCACTATTTCAATGTTTCAGGATACACAGAAGTCAGTTTATAAGTTTACCCTTAATCTCATTTAGAAATACACTTTTAATTAACTTATCTTACGTAGAGAGCGTGCCTGGTAAGAAACTCAAAGTAACCAATACTCCCTTTATTAACCATTCTTAATTATTGTGATTGGCTATTCCTCTCACCGGAGTGTGTGGGTAGTCATTTGACTCCCAACCTCGGAATGAACAGACAGGTATACTAACAATTGCGTAACCGACTCAAAGCAGTCGTGAGAAGAGCCTCGTTTTAAGTGAAGCTTATCAATGTGTTGATAAACTTATGGTAGACGGAATCAAAATACGGAGTAATGTCTGGAGAGAATTGCGTGGCAGTTGGAGCATGCGATTAACACGATGATTAGCCCAGAGTCTGAATAACATAACCAATTGTAGTTATGATGGAAAGCAATGTGCACTTCCAATGAATTTGTCACTATTTTTATGTCTGTGAATTGATAACCACTGGGCTTGACGTTGTGCTGGATTGGCGGTCCCTGTACAGCTGTATTCGTTTTCTTTAGCAGTTTACACGTTTTTGGCATCCAATAGCATTGACAATTTGCCAAGATCTTGTGCTAATATCTGAGGCTTAGAGATTTTATAGCAATAGAGAATAGGAAGAAAGGAAGGAAGAAAGGAAGCATATACAACACATTGAACTAAGCGACATTCAAGACGGCAAGGTTAGAGAAAAGTGGAACTGTGAGGACTACCGTTCACCAAGATGGTACTGTCTCTCACACTTTTGCTGCTGTTTTTGTTAATAACAGTGAATTAGATATTCGATTTCTTTCAGGGGATTACTCAACGCAGACTGTAACGACCAAATTTAACTTGGCCTGTATGAGTAGACTACTAAAGATGAGTTGTTTATTTTGAAAAAAAAAGTGTGCTTCAGAGGCTTGACTCATCATGTCGTAGTAGACTTGCGGAGTGTGAAAAGGGCGTATTTTAACCACGGTAAGGCAAGAAACCTGCAAATTGGGGCTTTTTGTCATGCACGTATTAAACGGAAATACTGAAGAATCTGTCCCCATAGTCTGTACTTAATAGCTAACGAATAGCCAATGCCATGCTTGTTTAACATTATGGGGCCAACCAATTACGAAGCAGAGCACTTTATCTGAAGAATTCACCTGTTTTAGTTTTGCAGCATCTCACATCAATTGGCCTTTGGAAGAGCTACTTCTTGACTTATGTCAATTTTCATGGCTCTAGCCTCAGAAATGTTTCAGTTGGTAATCAATGAGAGCACAGTAGTAAAAGTCAGTTTTTGTCATTCTTAGCCTTGAAACATTTTTTTTGCCCTTTCCAAAATCAACTGAAAGCACTGTGAATAATTTATAAGATAACTTCACTGTCCTGTTTTCAGTGTGCAGGATGGCCATTGGCAATAATTCTTTGCGATAAATCGAGTGATTGGCACATTTTAGCATTTGAAGAGAGGAATTAACCCAACTTTATCCCTGTTTACGTTGACAGCCATTGCAAGAAATAATCTACGACAATAAGTGTCCGTATGCATTTTTTTAATTTTTGCACTACTTCAAGAAAATGAATTTCGGGTTTATTGTACCAAAAGTCGAAACCAATCTGCTTTGGCATACCTGGCTTAAACACTCTTAACTGAATTCATTTTAATATGCCTGTTTTTGATATGTTTTTCCTCATTCATGGGTTGGTCATGCGTACCTTTGGTAAGGTGAGAACTAGTAGGTGTAGATATATAGACTCTTAATCAATACTGAATCCCCGCAACTGGCAAATTAAAAGATTGAATTTCAGTTCAGTTTTAACCAAGATCGATTTAAGTCATTTAAGAAGAATTGTTTAAATATTATTTCCTTAGAACAATGACTGATCATGTAGTCTATCATGATAATGCCTTCCATGTTTTCAATCATCATAAATGGAGTATTCTTAGTTCAAATTTACAAGGCCTTTTCCGAATTCCCATACTCAAGCAGTACGTTAAGAGTCTGAATTTCCTCATTTCATCCATATTTTGCAAGTTCCATTATGTGTCTAGTTGGATTTATTGAAGTCAGTTACAATAATACAAATGGCATCGAAAGATAGAGAGAGAGAGCCAAAGACGTGAGGTATATTCTTCAACGTGCAAGCAATAAACAGCCTGGCTGTACGCCCTCAAGTCAAGTTTTTTTCAAAAACACAAATGCACGCACCAGGAACTAGCCAATAGTAGCCAATCAGAATGGAGGCTGCTTTTTTCTTCTCCTCCTCCTCCTACTATCCTCGTGTTGTAGTTGTAGAAAGAAGCAGGAGGAAGCACAGCTATCGTTTAAATATTCCGGCAACGTTCTGCTTTCACTACGCCTTTCTTCTCCCTAAATCAATAACTTGGCTTAGCTACAACTTCCAAACCTAGTAGAACGGTATTGAAATTTGCATTGATAACTATCGACTGTTGAGGATGTTTAGGGTCAGCGAGTGAAAACAAAGGGTGATATCATGGCTAGGGGGGGAGGGGGGGG